GGCGGCGTATAGGTACGTGTTTATCGTGCGTGCGTGGCTCGGCGCGCTTATTATAAGCTAGTCTGTTATGTGGGCGTGCATGCGTGCGTTCTCGCGGCGTATAGTACCTGTTAGTGCGTGCGTGCCTCGCGTCGCGTCATAGGTAGCGTCGTTAATGTGCTGCGTGCTCGCGCGCGTAATATAGCTTCTGTTTGTGGCGTGCGTGCTCGTGGCGCGTATATAGCTATCTGTTATGTACACGATCCGCGTTTTATGTTGAAAGGAAGCGGCACTGTTTGCAAGGAATGCGTGTTTAGAACTCGCACGATTAAATTCGTGTTTTCCGCATCGTTTTTCCAACGCGTGTTGGAATACGGCAGCGTGTCGACGTTGGCGCGGGATGGGTATTAACCTGCGCCAGTTGGGCACATTTTTCACATAGTCTCTATATCTTCCGTGAGCGGAAATATTGCTAGTTTGTGATATTTTTTTTTTTTAACTGGCGCCGGGGGCCCCATTTTGAATCCAGCCACCTTGGATCACAAGCCTGTGCATCACGTTGTTGTATGAAATAGTAACCCAAACAATTACGTACTGTCAGTAAAATTTTCAAGTCTGGTATGAAGATTATTAACGCAAGATAAGCTTATTTTTAAGAAATGACGGCCGGCCATTTTGGAATTTCAAGATGTGTGGCCGAAAACTAGCCCATTGGATCATCATCCTACACGTGTTGTATGAAAATAGTAACCAAAATCACTCTGTTCCAGTTCAATTTTTCAAGTCTGTAACGCCAAGATTATTAATTAACCGAGATATAGCTAATTTTTAAGAAAATAACGGCGGCATTTTTAAATTCAATATGCGAGCGCCGAAGTTTGTAGTTGGATCGCGTGTGTCACTGCTGTTTTAAATGAAGAGCATACAAAAGTATGCAAGTGTTAGCCAATTTTCATACTTTTTTCAGGCAATTTGAGACGATTTTTTTTCTAATCTACTGTACTAAACATTGTACGTTTGTTGTGAGACACGTGCGACACAATCGTCAATAACTAAGTTTATACACGTTTTTTCTCCATTTATCGATATTTTGTACTTATTAACTATCCTAGCCCCTCTTGAACAGTTTTTAGACATGACGCTTTCATTTGTACCACTATTCCGCGGCGGGTTGTGTATACACGAATTTCATTTAAAATGTTGCTGACATCGGCTTACAATATTGTCTCTCGCGCGCATCCCCGCGTGAATATTATTGTCGAGTATACGACTCCGAATTACGTAAATAGCGGTAGCGGGCCCTACACTTCCTTTGCATACTGTTAGTCATAAAAGTATTAAATATCTTGGCGTCCATTTGCAAGGCTTGTTGTGGTGTGTGTGTGTGTGTGTGTGTGTGTGTGTGTGTGTTGTGTGTGTGTGTGTGTGTGTGTGTGGTGTGGTGTGTTTGTGTTTTGTGTTTGGTGTGTGGTGTTGTGTGGTGTGTGTTGGTGTGTGTGTGTGTGTGTGTGTGTGTGTGTGTCGTGTGTGTGGTGTGTGTGTGTTGTGTGGTGTGTGTGTTGTGTGTGTGTGTTGTGTGTGCGTTCAGTATAGGTACGCTCGCCACTATATGTACGCGTGGTATCGCTGCATTCAAGTGTCTGATTTATCGATTTTCGCGACCCTCGCTAGCACTCGTGATGTTGGTGTAGGAATAGCCAGGGGCGGCGGTAACAGCTGATCTACCGTTTCTACGTTGCGTACACAGCAGCTGACGTACACACAGGCATACCCTGTGATGCAGTCACGACCACCGACGCACGTCGGCCCGGTCCGTCGTCTCACCTGACCATTCGCTTTGCTCGCGCGTGACGGCTGTCATCGCGATGCTGGAGACGCCGTGGCTTGCGGTGGAGATGCTAGCGCGCGTTGCCAGCCTCTCAAATGTTGGCGTGGGATCATCGGTGCTGGCGAGTAGCGCGGAGTACGTGTGCCATGCTAGAATCGAGAACGAATGAGAAACGATGAATGTCGTCGGCTGTAAAGGGGCGATCCGAAGCCGCAGCGCGCGCCACGTGAAGCGGGCCGAGCGTGCGTGCAAAATGTCAACCGCGACGTCAACCCTAAGCGTTAAACTCACGCTTTGCCACGTCTTCGAGCGCGTGAAACAGCAGGCTAGAGCGGAGCGATGGCGCACGAGATTCTCGGCCGATGCGAACGCTTCGTCGGGAGATCCGTGATGTACACACCCTGCCGCTTGCTGGTGTATGAAATCGCTGACATACGCTCCGAAGGCCGTATAGATAGATGTAGCGGAGAAGGCTGGCCATGTGGGCGAGGAGCGCGCGCAGCCGCCGTTGCGCAAGCGGGCGCGACCATATAATGACTTCAAGCGGGTGGCGAAGTCGCTGTCATACAAAAACACGGCCGTGGCCGAATGGCGCAGTCGCGATGTAATTTGTTTATGTAGCATATGTTTGCTCATAGAAAACCTAGTTGGCTTTAATATAAATTGCATGGATAAATAAA